CTCCTCATGAGCTGGTCAGATGATGAAATGTGTGGAAGGTGCCGGCCAGAGTCTCTACAGAGGGATTAAGCTTTAAATCAAAAGCTGCCTTGATTACAGAAGCATAAAACTCAGAAACATGTTAAAACCGTCACAATTTCATAGTCACTTGCGTTCAGTCCGTTATTTTCATTTTAAGTGCTTACAGCTCTCGAAGGTTTTCAGAACCATTTTTCCTGTTTCATTTCTAATATTGCTGTGGTGTAATTTAGATTAAATGTTCAAACGTTCCTCTTGCACAGTGCACGAGCTTTATTCATTCATGTCAATTACTTGCCATGTTTTTTTTTTTTTTTTTTTTTTTCTTAAAGGAAAAAACTTGTAGACTGTGGTAAGCAAAAATATTAAAGTAAAAATAGAGTGAAGAGCAGGGTTAGGAAATATTTATATATTTCCATGTCTCCTCAGGCGGTGACGATGTTTTGGAGCGCAGAATCTATGTTGTTCTGAAATGCCCTTTTTCTCTTTTTCCAGCCTGTTTTCTGCTACAAAGGCAGCGAGAGCAGCAGCGTTAGACCAGGCCCGAGGTGAGTCTTTAAAATCCTGACGCCGCTTTAAAGCGCGGATGAGAGCAATTCATCTTTCTTAATCTGAGACTCAAAACAGGCTTTCTGTGTGGAAAGACAGAGGGAAGGGGAGAGGGGAGAGAGGGAGGAAAAAAAAAATGCTGTCGAGTAATTTTCCGTTTGAAACGTTCCCACTCCACAACAATTTGCATAAAGCAGCCCTGCGTCTTGGATAAAGAAGATGGTAATTTTCAAGACTCTGTGGGGATTGAGAATTAAAAGCCTTTCTCCGCTATCTCCCCCTTGCAGCTGGCCACCACAGATTCCCCGCTTCTCGCACGCATTTTCCTCCTAAACTACGCCTTATAAAACCTTTCTCTCCATCCTCTCCTTCTCCGACTCTCGCTCTGACAGTGTGAGTTCCTGTCCCTCTCTCTATATACTGTATTCCTCTCCCTCCCTCTCTCATCCAATTACTCCTGAATGCTTTTCTCTATTCCTGCTGCTCACTCATTCCCGGCACTGCTGTTTATTTGGGAGAACAAGAAAATGAATAGGTAGGGGGGGAAACAAAAAAGGGCTTAGTCTAACAAAAGGAAGTGTTGCAGTATTTTTTAAAACCAGAATTTTCCAGGATTGCGGACAGGCAGAGAGGCAGGACCAGAGCAGACTTGGCAGAAGGAAGAGACAGGGAGGATAGAGAAGGGATGCTCTTATCACCAGTGAACTTTAATCTTCAGAGAATGTGTCCTCCAGTGCCAGCACTTCAGGGCCTGTGGGTCGGAAGACCCTTCAGGAGGAGGACACCGTTTTTAATTCACTTTTAAACATTCTAATTATGAGTGGAAATAGTTTCATATTTATGATGGGTAGTCTGATATGGTGAAAAAAAAAAATTGAGAATTTCCTTTCTTATCAGTGTGTAAAATCCTCTGAAGCCGAGTAAAACTGTTACAAAGTTTATCGCTAAACCTATGGTATAAATCTAACACTCTACTGAAAACTCAAACAGCTGTTTCCATCCACATGGGTTGAAGCACATTTTCATTTTGCAAATAAAAAAAATGGGAGGTGGGAAAAACAAAAGACAAAATATCACAAAAAGGGTTGGTGTTTGGTGTATTGATGAAAAAAACAAAACAAATATGGGACTTAAGATGAATAATGACAACAGACTTTGCAAACTCATCCAGACGTCCATGCAACATGACTTACACTGTCACACGTTATGAAGGCAAAAAATAAATAATTGTCATATTTCCGTCCATGTTTTCCTTGCCCACTTCCTCTGCAGTGGTGGAAAATTAGCATCACCAAATCAAAATGTATAAAATTTTGCTGCCACATTGAAACAGAAACTTCGACTGCTTTGCAATCTGGGTTCATAACTGGAATCAGCTGAAATGAAAGTTATTCCTATAAAGGACATTGATTGTAGGGACAAAATAAACTGTATAACCAGCTAATATTCAACATTTAAAATGTGGGATAAAGCAGAAAACTAAACAGAGTTAAACCCTTCTTGACGAAAACTCCTGCCCACCCTAAGGAAACTATTCCAGAATCTGTAAGAAAACCAGTTTCTTCTCCAGGGCTCAGGTCGCAGTTGGGAGAAGACTGAGAGGACATCTGTCACATCTTTCAGCTCATCCAAGGGGATTCCTGGGGCAATCCCAGGAGAAGCTGCTGCAGGCATGCTGGGTCTGCACCAAGGTCGCTTCCCAGTGGATGAAGTCCAGGGACACATCCTGATCAGATCACCATCAGTGGCAGCTTTGAGGCAGGGAAGGAGCTGAGACTTGGGAACCATCTTTACAGAGAAAGCCCAGAAATCACACGTCAAAAAAACAGTGTTAGGCTGCTTCTAGCATGATCTCATTCTTCAGTCAATACTCAAAGCTAATGACCATAAGTGGGGTGGACATTATATAACTGCACGCGACTCCAGCTCTTCACGATGACAGGGCCGATGAAGGTTACAAACAGAACTTACAGTTGCCTGCATCAATCAAATCATTTTTTGTCATTTGTAGGCAACCCTGAAAAATCCTCCTGCAGCAGGACGATGCAATTCATCTTTTTCTGAATCACGAGAGCGTGCGCCGGTCAGACTAGGGTGTGCTAACTCTCATCCCTCGACTTGTTTCACACTTGGCCTGCCGATAAATAGACCAGCAGAAACCAGCATCATCGGCCGAATAAAAAGCTCTGGGGCCACAAGCCTGAAGTCCATCAAAGGTGAAGCTCCAGTCCTTTGCTGCACCTTCAAAATTTTGTGCATTAACTCCACAAATAGAAAACTGTTGCCAAAAGCACACCACCAGGGCTTTACACCAGGCTCAGCACTTTACAACTGCAAGTATCCACAGCAGATGTCCAGAGACCACAGTCCCCGCCTCACCAGGACCCCAATCCACCCATGAGCCCGTCAGTCATTTGAGAGAAAGTAAAGAGCAGGTCCACTGCTTCCCGTGATCAGGACTAGATTCTTGCAGTGGACCACTGAATCTGAGAAGGGCCACCTCGATCTCGACTGACCACCATCTCTCCGTTCATGGAGAATGGCGGTGCTTGGCAACCCTTTTTTACATTTCTCTGCAGTTACTGAAAGCGGCTCGATGGGTGATTTGGGGTTCCTGAGTGAGGCGGGGACTGGTCTCTGGAATTCTGCTGATGGGGAGATACTTCGTTTGGTAAAGTGCTTGAGCTGAACCGTGTCCTGACCACTATTGTAATACATATGATGCACTATATGCGAACCTGCAAGACTGAAGTATCTCGCTCAAAAATAGTATCTGGTATGCGAACGTCAATGCCGTCTATGGTACGGCTCACTTTCTATCATTGGCTGAATGAGTACTCGCCTTCCAGAAGCACAAAATATCCATCGTAACATGATCGACAACGGACTAACCGACAGACAATCGAGGCTCCAACCCATCGCGGACCCGTTCAGTCACATACACGAGTAATGTGGCGGCGGTCACTAATGCCTGGCTGTTGGTCAGGTAGATATCCGACCACCCCCCCCCCCCCCCCCCCCCCCCCCCCCCCCCCCCCCCCCCCCGCCCCCCCCCCCCCCCCCCCCCCGGCACAGGCATTGCGCCCAGCAAGCAGAGCTAGCCGCCCAGCGGCCGCCGGCCCCCCCCCCGACAATTACCATCAGTTTGTGTTGTTATTTCTAATAAAATAAACGGATGGAGTATCTGTGGTACTTCAAATAAACACATGTGAAGACTTTTTATTACTTTTTTTTGCAAATCAACAGGTGGTGCCAAAGCCAAACGAAGGGCAGCTACAACAAATTATCATCGTAATCTCCACAATAATACTGGTTGTCACCCTGGCCCATATCATTTCCTGTTATAGACTAACCTCGGCCCCCCATCTCAGAAAGGAAAATTGATGTGGCCCCCACTGAAAAAAGTTTGGGGACCGCTGGTTTAGAGAGTGTTTCAGACCCGCACATGTAATCATCCTCTCTGAAAACAACTGTGCTTGTTCTCAAAGTGCAACTTTTGAAGCTTATAACCTTTGGTCGATTTCAGTGACAACATTTTCAACACTCAGTTTGCAGTTTATGCAATACACCTACCTAAAATGGATGCAGTCTAATACAAAAGTGTTGCAATAAACCCTAACTTAATGAAGGCTGTGTTCGTTTAAACTGTTTTAGAGAAGTCTTGAACTTGGTGATCATTTTGGAGGATGTGGTCTGAGGTGCCATTGAACTATATTGCATTACACAGACATGTATTCCTGTTATTGAACCTATTGGAGTTTAACAGCCTATTACATGCAGTGCTTCACATTTTTTGTACGAGCCACTGTATATCACTCTCAGGGTAGAGACACATGCTGCTCAAAAATAAAGACTGATTTCATTAAAAGGATCAAAAGACAACTAGAGACACATTTGTTGAAGAGGCTGTGATTATTGCAGACAGACATTAATCCAGTGAAAAACTGATTGCACTTAATGTACTGGTTCAGTTGAAGGTCCATTTAGTCTTTATTCATTGTATAAGAGCTTATGCATGGCTCATCCGTGTGCAGAGTTTGTATTATTTGTACAATATAGTATGAAAAACTCAAAGCTGAGATGAACATGTCATGATATATTTCTCATAGCAGACATGGTAGGAAAAGCACCTTTCACATTTTTCAAGCAATTGTCCAAAAGCTTTTCTGGTCCCACTTAACACAGAGGTTAATAGAAGGATTGAGAGACACTCCCTCAGCTTTAAAGTTTAAAGCTGAGAAGTTTTAAAACCTGTAAAAACATAGTGTGAGAGGAGACATCTGTGACTTGAGGTGTTTTTATCAGCTGAAGATCTGATATGCACAACTTATAAAGTCTAATGCACTGGTTCCTGTTTCAGAGCAATGGAGAGAACTCCACACTGCCGCAGTTTTGTTTCACTGGTTGCTTTGGTCTTCCTCATCTTATTTCCTGTGAGGTCTTGGAGTAAAGAAGAAACCTACAAGTCACTGACAGAGGTACAGTGCGACTGACCCGGCTACAATTATATGTTACTATGACATGTCAGTTACACCTGCATTTCTAGGCCTTACCCACCAGCTCACAATAGCAGATTTTAACAGTTGTACAGACAGCAGCTGAAATGGACAGTGATTTGCTACAGTCTACAAATGATTTTTCTCCCTTCATCTTGTCTTTCAGGCTAAACCAGAGTGCTGTGTTGGTGAAGACGCAGAGTCGAAGAGATTTGATGACTTCGATGACGACACCTTTGTGGGTCTAATGGGAAGGAGAAGTGCAGCTCAACTAAACAGTGAGCTATTATTTGCAGTGAACGTCTATAAAACACCCATAACTCTTTCACTAATACTCATTTAACACGTAACTCCTCTTGCAGGTCACAGATTCTCCCCAATGTCAAGAAAAAGTAAGAACTTGAAGATGAATTCAATGATGAACCTCCAACCGATGGTTTTATGGTATAAAAATAAATGCTCTGTTCATTTTATGCAGGACACATGGACCACATCCTAGCTGATCTGCTGGGGAGGAGGACAAGTGAGTGACTTCAGCCACACTGAGAGCAGCTCAAACAGCAATTCATATAAAAGTCTACTGATTCATTTGACACTATTTCACTGTGTATTCTGTGGCTATTTGCAGGAAATATACATATATATATATATATATATATATACATATATCTAATAGCCCACTTGAAGCTTGTGAGCTTCCCTTCAAGATACCGTCACATATTTATGCCATGTGCCTCACAGAATAGCCTGATCAATACATTGTGTTTTTAGGCTCATACCAATAACGATTTTAATTTAGATTTTTTAAAGATAACAATATTCGCTGATATTTAGGTTTTACACAAACATATAACAACTCCTATATGTCTTAAACAAGGTTATTATACATTTCTAACAGTTTACAGTTGGAAAATATCGAATCCAGGTTTTAGGAGGAAGCAGACAAACCATGGTGGCACCCTAATTGTAAACCTGGGTATAACACTAGTGTATGTAAATGAGAGATTTCTTCTGATTAGAAGGAATAATAGAGTTTAATTTAAATCCTGAGCTAGCAAGACATTTGTAGGGCAACTGTCGACTGTGAACAACTCGAACATCACTGCCATCACTATAAGTGTAAACATGTTCAGTTGAACTCCCACAGCCATCACAATAAAGGCATATTCACATTCGAGCAGAAAAAGAAGGAACTTGGCTGAACTTTAGCTGCTCCCCTGCTCTGCAGCAGAGCTGTCGCAACACACTATTCAATGATAATATCAGTCGGGCCAATTTATCAGCCTCATATAAATATGCTAGTTGGTCAACTTTCAAGTACTGAACGTCAAAGAGCATAGAAAGTTGCAGGCCATCTTGCAAATGCGCCCAACTGTTTCTGCTGAATGTACTTTGGTGTTGACATATTCCATATCAGCCTCGGTGTCTTGATTTGCAAAAGAAAACACTGAAGGAAGAGTGTATTTATTTTGCAGTTAACAGACTCACAGCAGCAGTGCCTTCTGGATGACAGCGGCTGTCGTAGAGGGCTTCTGCCTGTAATAATTAGTTGTTGACTGCATAGTGATGCAGCGCAGGTAAATTTGAACCAGTTTTTTTCTTTGTGCACAACAGGAACGGCTTGCCCGTGTACACAGGAGTATTTTCAGCAAAGGAGAGGCTGATTCATCAATCATCAGGCAGAGGTAAGAAAACCAGACCTGCATCCTCGCTGCAATTCATTTTCATTCCTGACATAACCTTGTTCTTTCTACTCAGGTTCTAATGGTTTCTGTAATGGAGATGTCACACCGCCCCCCCTCACAACACAGACTGCAACTCCTCCAGTCCTTCAAGTGAGGGCATGTATTAAAGCTGTTTAACCACAGCCATATTAACCATGCATGAATGCTTTTCTACCATCACAGGACTTTGTTTTGACGTAACCCTGTAATATCATGTAAACAAATGTAAAGCAAAACAAGATGTACAATAAAATATGCATTTATTTATAGTGATTAAAGTACCGTTCACAGAAAACAATCCTGCACACTGATCACATGTGCTCACACACTCACGCAAACCCATTTACACATTAAAGAGTATTGACTCAATTCATACGTCAATACCAACATAAATACATTTGAAATATAAATACAGTACTGTACACCTTTCTCTTTAATAAAATTTGAATGTTGGAGAAGATTGTTGTGGACTGAATGTGTTGTATCACCGCCATCAGGAACAGACGTGGCAGTTCAGATCAACAAGGGGTTTGGGGCAGCAGAAATTAGATCCACTGATGGTAACGCAGCAATATCAGTCAAGTGTTTTGCTACTAAAATGTCCAAAGGCTGTTATTTCACTTGAAAATGAAGATGTGCATTAATTTCAACAGAAACTTAAGTAAAACATGCTGATTTGGACTTTTTCCATTTCAAACACAAAAGACAAAACTGAACATGCTCTGTGATCATGTACAGAAGGAAACCATGTATAAACACTTACAAAAAGGCATTTTCATAGGCATTAGTCACCTCATACATCTTTAAGAATGAAGGAGAATAAAAGGTTGAAGTGGTTAAAAAGAAAAAACGGCAATAACACTGAAAAGTGCATTCAATTTTAACTTAAATGACAAATTTGTTCATTTTGATTCCTGAAACCATTTTCTGTATTTGGTAATTACTGTATCTCCCATAACATTAGCTCTCCAAACTTTGTTTGGTTACAAAGTAGTGAAGAAATTGTTATGGATCATTTTAAATATACACAATGTGCTAACTACAAAAGAAAATGTCTGGCCTGCCCAGGATTTAGAAAATACACAATATTTTTGAAACTACAATTGTATAAAAGAAAAAAATCTTGCCTATTCAAAAAAAGAAAAGAAAAAAAAGCTGTCATGAACAAGTCATCAGCTGGCTTGCCCAAAGGCCACACTCATTACATTGGAGGGATTCAATTAAATTATACTCCATCTGAAAGCATCACTCTCATCATGGTAATGTCACAGTGCAAAGTCATGTGTGCAGCTGTTGGCTCATACAATCTCAATTTACAAGGCACAAGCTAATGAGTCCACTGGGGGAAGATGCAGGGAACTGTGAAGTGTGTGTATCAAAGGCCAGTTTCTGGAAGAACAAATAGAAAACAATGCGCCATGGCTGGTTTAGTGTCGAGTTTCAGGATTCATTCCAAAAAAAGAATTGCGAAAAGGGACTACTTCCTCGTTCAGATGAAGGTGTGTCTAGCCACCAAGGATGGATGACAGAACAGATAAGAGTGTGACTGAACACACACCAGTCATAATAAATAAAACTGATAACTAAATCAACAATAACTGCAGTTACTCCAAGTTCACAAATACTGCTTTGTCTGTCCTTAATCTGATCTTATCCCACAGGGAAATCTTTGGCTGGAATGTATAAATTTCGTCACCTGGACTTTCCATTCAAAGCATCGTGGTCTCATCAATGTAGCTCAATTAGCTGTAGAGAAATATAGATGCATCCAAACAAGGATTTCCTATGAAAATAACTTTGTATCTTGGTTGTGTTTTTAAATGTTAAAAGTTTTGGGAAGGATATAGGTAAGATGTATTTAACTTATTCTATTAACTGGCACTTGATTAGAGCTGCAAGATCATGGCTGACAAAACCTTTATTTAGCTGAATGTTGAGATCAGAAATTTTTTAAATCATTTTTGCGACAAAATACTTTTGCTGCACTTTCACACTGACTAACAGAAAACGGCCTTCACTTTCAGAATGTCATTAATAATAATCAATAGAGCTGAAATGTTTATTAATCAATTAGTCACTCAACAGAAAATTAATGAGAAATTATTTCGATAATCCATTAATCGTTCAAGTCTTTCTTTTCTACCAAAAATGCCAAACACAACTGTGGTTCAGGTCTTCCCTTTGAGGATTTGCAGCTATTTTGTCCCTCCTGACAATAAACAGATCATTTTTGGGTTTTTGACTGTTCATCAGACAAATTAGTTATTTGAAGGGTCACCTTGGGCTTCAGGATATCTTAACAGGTATTTTTAACTATTTTCTGACATATTATAAACCAAACAAATAGTCAATTAATCAAAACCAGTCTTTCAGTTACAGTTTACACTAGTAGCAGTCCTACAGCTCAAGCATCCTCAGGCAATGCACATCTATGTGGGCAAACCTCAGATCAAAGTGGACTTTCTTCTGCTCTTGTAGAAATATGAGCCAAGATAATCAGAATGAATAAGCAAACATTAAAAACACACATCACACCTCTTTGAAATAACAGTCCCCTTCACACACCTACTCAGTCGCACGGTTATTTGTCCACTGACGCAACAGGAGGATCTTTACCAGCTGCAGGAGGTGGATCTGAATCCTGTTTCTTCTCAGTCCTGGACAGATCATCACCCTCTCCTCTTCCTTTCACTTGAGAAGCAAGTTCTTCTTGTCCTTCTGCAGTGTCCCAGGAACCTGACTGCTCAGTATTATAGCCAAGCGGGGCAGGGGGCTGGTAACGGTATCTGTAGCCAAAGGCACGCAGGTGATAGGTGTAGTACTCCAATAAATACATGTGTGAAGCATCTACATAGTGGAAAGACACCGACACGTCTGAGCAGCAGTTTGGACCCTGAGAAAAAAAAACAAAAAAACACAGATTTTGTGGTTATGTAACATTACAGAGGCATCCAAGTGTCATATTTTCTAATCTTATTAAGAGTGGGTGGTACAAATGCAGGGTTTTCCCTATCATAGAAAGACTTTTTTCGTATTTTTGTGTATTGCCTTCAGCCGAATAAACATAAAAAGGTATTTAGGCAACATATGAGAATGAACGTTTGAATAATGGTTCTCAAACAGAAAGGTAAGCTGGCAACAGGAATAACCTGCCAATCAACAATCAGTGTTTGGATGAATGTTTAGTGATTAGTGTGTGACAGATGCTCACCAAGCTCAGCTAATCAAACAGCTGATTGGATATTTCTCTGAACCAACAACTTGTGATGGTATTTACAACCATCAACTCGAATAAGCATGTTGCAAACCATCGATGAAATAAGCCTCAAAGAGTAATAGAAATACAATTCTTTCTTTTTTTTGTTAGGGAATAATTCTAGTCGATGTTAATAATACTGATAGCAGATAAGATATAAGTAAAGAAGCCTGCATTACAACTACAGAAAAATTCAAAATATACTTCCACCAAACACCACCACCGCCCAGAACCCAGCACTAGCCCTCTGAAAAGCTGGGAAAAACCCTGCCAATGTGAGGGCGTTTGTTTGTCTGTCACAAGAAATGGTTTCCGGAAAGTTTAACACTATATCAAACTAACCAGTCACTACTGTCAAGAATCCAATGTTATTGTGCCTCTACCAGTTTAACAGCAAACAATGCAAAGGGGAAATGTAAAAAAATTTAGCTGCTATTCAGATATTGACAATGCTGTAGTTGCTTCACTTGCCTCTGAGATGGGGTAGTAGCAGTAGCTCCAGTACCAGAAGCTCTTGGGGAACTTGGCAGTGAGGTGTTGCTCAGGGACAAAGGGGTGAAATGTCTCCCTGCGCGCAGTGTCTCTGGAGTCTCCAGCCAGCACCCCAACTTTCTCCATGCACTGTCCCATTGCCAGGTCCTCTACAGAGGTAGTGTGAGTGCACTGTTTGCTTTTAAAACCTTCCACAAATCGCCGCAGAGCCTCTTTGCTCAGCACATAACCCGCTCCACCACTCATATAGCCCTGCTTGGTGTAGGGCTTGAATCTTCGGCCAAAGTAAATCGGCTCGTCTGGCGTGTGGTTTGCAAGAACCCACCGCAAGTTGTCTACGATTACGTAGGTGTCGTCATCTGCCTTGAGGAACCAATCTGCCTCGTGGCTATGATGCTCGTAGGCATAATGGAACGCTCGGATTGTTTTCCAGTACAGCTGATCCCGACCTTCCTTTGTACCCAATCCCACAGTGGGGAAGTCGGGGTCCTCCACAGAGCTCATGAAGACCACAACATTGCAGTGACGACTCCATGTGGACTTCACATGCCGAGCCTTCTTCTCCAGGTTGCTGGGTCCAGTCATCACCCAGCAAAGAATGCGCACCTTTTTGTATAGTTCATCAGCCATGCGACTATCCTCACCTGGTAAAGAGATATAAACATTAACATCACATTTACACTGTAAAGTCTTCATAATAAACAGTATCCATTTAAAACTGCAGACAAAGAATACTAACAGGAGTGCTTCGGGTGTCGCCTACAACAACCATTGGGAAAAAAATATGCTCTCATCATGGGTGTAGAACTGGGTATGGACAGTAGGGACATGTCAGGGTGTTGCTCAATTGGCCCCAGCAATATATTTATCCATCTCAAACAATCTTGCCATTTTAACTCCCCACTGTGTTATCAGTAAGATCTATGCAGCAACTAAGTTGTGTCTTTTCTGAAAAATGTCGGTTATTATGATAAAGAGTGAAAGACTGGGATATGGGGGATACTCAACTATGATCTGGCAACCCTCATCTTCAACTTCAAACATTGTTGACCAGCTGCAACACGGCAATAGCTGTAGTTGAGTTGGTGAAAGCAGTGCAGCGGTGGTGAAAATGAAAGGGTAAGTATTTTTAGTTTAATGGTTACAAATGCCACAGAACTGAAAACATCTTCATTAGACAAAATATCATCAGCTGATATTATACTTACATTTCAGTGGTTATTGGCCAATTTGTGAGGTGAAAATGCCTAATATAGACATCAGGTCCTTTTTAAAGATGAACTGAAGTGTAAGTACAATAAAAAACTACTCCCTGTAGCTCCAGTCCACTATTAACCCCACCCAGAAATACAAATACAGTGACTTTACATGCACTTATGGCATGAAGTAGAATTTACTGACATTCTTTCCATATCCAATACTCAGAACACACAGGATTGAACTTGTGTCTAGTCAGTGTTACAATTCACACAACAGAAACAAATAAAATCTTTAAAAAAGTGTAGCATTAAGTTGAGTACAGTGTAATGACTAAACACTGTTGTGACACATGCAAAGGTCTGACTCGTTTGACTAACAAATTAGAAGGGCACTCAGAGAGCGCAGATCTCCACAAAGGACAATGTCAAACATACACCAAACTTCTGAAAGCCAGTTACTTAAGTGCATGTTAAGACACTGATACTGAGCATATCATATTAACATACGACAACACCATGTGACAGTTAAACATTAAAGTGAAAGCATGCTACAGCTGCGCAACAGCAAGTGAGAGCAAAAACAATTCCCTATAAAAAAGACACAACCAAAAGAAGTTGAATTGGATGTATAGATGCATCCAGAAAAAAAGGATTTCTCATGAAATAATATGGGTATGACATATTTGACTCACTCCATTTAACTGATACTTGATAGTTTCAAGTAGTCATTTAGACTAGTTGTTTAAATTAAATTAAATTTGTGGTAGGAACTTAAAAATGATTATTTGACACAACAGAGTGTGTTTGAGTGATTGCATAAGGTGAAACACTTAAATTTGGTATGATTTAGTTTAATTATCAGAAAATTAATTAAGTAGCCCTACATGTCACCAACTTGTGGCCCCTTCAGACTAGAATCTAAGAGGAAGCAGTTCATCTTTGGTATCTTTCACACGTCGCTTATTTTTCTGTTAATGTGACGCATATCCGTCTGTCTGTCTGTGAAATGAAGTCAAACTGCTCCAGCAAGTCAAGATGACCAGAGAATTAGAGGAAGTTTTATCAAATTTAACTATCTCTGGAAAATACTATTTACTTGGCCGGTGTAAACTACAATTTGTACAACTGAAAGTGGAAACAATTCCAGTTATATTGTGGCACCTGGTAAAAATATTCTATGTGCTCAGATGAAAGTGTCTACTTATTAAATAACACTAACTCTTTTGATCTGTAGAATATTTATCAGCCTTAATGCATCAATCAGGAGAATTTTAAAACTGACAAAAAACTGGCTAAAGCTTGTAGTCACTTGCCATGACAGCAAATTTGATAGAGAGTCAATAAGTTGCAGTCACTATACGCCCACAGGATTTGGGTGCAGTTGGGTCTTAACACTTAGGTAACATAGACATAAAATAGATAATCCAGGTTCAATCCAATTCTGTCATTCATTCTTCCAAACTTTAATTGATTACACTCTTACAAATAATGAATTATGTCAAATCTGAGTGACAGAAATTGAAACAATCTAAAGAAAATTAGATTTGAAATGCACTCGGATTGTTACACATTTTACTGCATTGTATCTGTCATCAGTTTCTGGCTCACCTTTTTACCTGCTTCCAAGGCACACAGAGAAAGGTAATACTCGATCAGGAATTAGTCTGGGTGTAAGCTTGTGTATGAAGAACAACTTTATTTAGAAAGTCGGAGCTGGAGTTTTGGATTAGTAACTGATTAGGGACGATAAAGCTGACTGCAGCGCCTGAGAGGGACAGGAACACTCCCTTAGTAAGCACAAAGTAGTTACATGTTCGCGGAAGATGAGATTTGATCTACTGACTCAAGAAAGTATGGTGAAAAGTGGCTGTATTTACTCCTGAAAATAATACAAAGCCTAAAGGATATGGAATTTAAGTATGTCTCCAAGTTGGTGCACATGGAAATCTTTTGGAGCTTCCAACCTACCTGTATGATGAGGGTGCTTCAGGTTGAAAAGAGCAGACCTTTCTTTCTTCCATATCTTCCTCTCTTCCTCAAGCTGTTGCTGGTGGTCATGAAGTTTGTTCAAGCTGCTGGGCTGCTGAGCTGTCAAGGTCCTCTCAAACCACAGCTGCCGCAGAAACACGTACAGTGTAAAGGTTCCCACCACAAAACCTGCATAGAAGGAGAATCTGGATCCGAGGGCCTTCATGCTGGATCAGGTGTCTCACTGTCAGGTCTTCAACTTGGCAGGTGCTGAGTAAGACAGGGGAAAAATATGGTCAACATGGACACAAGTCTCACACAAGTTCACAAAAATGTGCCCAGTCTAAAGATGTAAAGTCCCATCGCTGTGTGTGTTGGCGAGTAAGAAGCGACAAAATGGAACTGTTATCTGTCACTCCCCGTTTAAGGTGTGGTTTACTGACCAGCGGTATCGCAGACACCATAGCACCTTTCTTATCCTCCAGCTACTTCATCAGAAGTGGAAATGTCAACTTTTAAAAGCAAACACTAAGCCCGTTTTGACCACGACGTAGCGATTTCCTTACCTTCCTCTGAACCGTAACTTAGCTCAGCTAGCCGCACTAAAATGTTGCTAACAGTTATATTGGCTATATAGCGGGTAAGATTACCAAAATGCCAACTATTAAAAGGCTCCCGTTATGACAAAAACTAAATTAAATTGTCAGTCTTTAATGAGTGGCTCCTGGCCTAGGTGTAGGTAGCAGGCGTTAGCTGACTGGGTAGTCCGTTATTAGATCGACGCTGCTAACGTTAACTTCAGTGCTAAGTTAGCGATGATCTTTCCTGTCGTGTCAACAAAGCTAACGGAAACGTTACAGAGTTAGCTGACCGAGCGGGCTTAACGACATGAATGTTAATTGGAATACGGCCAGCAGTTCAATGAAAATAACGTACGGACCAGACTGAAACACAAACGTAAAATTATTCCATACCGCTGCATAAACTACATCTAACTTATCTGACTGCAGTCTGTCCAGACAAACAGCTACTTCCGGTCAAGTATTTCAAAAGAAGAGCGCTGTGTGCACAACAGACACGTGTCCTCCTGCAGATACAGTACAGATGTTGCAGAAGATTCTGTGAACCCGGGGGGCCTATTGGTCCCCACTGTACATGGCAGTTTCCGCAACTACTCAGACACCAAACAGCAGAGGTGGGCAACACCACAAAAATTTGGTTTCAGTCCGAAGTCAGGTGATACCAGGGCCATGATCATAGATACCAATACTGATATCGGTAGTTTAAAGTGTTAAAAGCAGCTAATACAAATCATGTAGGCAAGAATAATATGTAATTTCTGAATATGTTAATTATCATTACCACCAAATAATTTGTCAAACATGAGGTATTCCAATTTACTATTCTCTGTTAATCACGTGCATCTTTGAACACAAGACAGTCTTTAGTGGTAAATCCCAAATATTCATTATTTGAATTCAGAAGTTATCACGGCACATATGCACACAACTGCAAGAGATAGATAGATAAAAGCATATCTGCACTAAGAGTGCAGAGTAATGTGTCCAGGATGTGACATAACATATGATGGATCCAATTTTATTTATTTTTTATCACTTGTCAGACATATTGATGATGATTTTTTTTGTTGATTTCAGTCACACGATACTTTGATGGACTAACTACCAGTACTGCGACGGAGTAACACTCACTTTCCCCAGGTTTTTTGTGTTAATTATTTGACACTGCAAAAAGGATCTGGTTAATCACAACATTAGCATAAAAAATGATTTGGATAGCCAATATGGCTGAAATCCTTCGTCAGAATCTAATCAAAACCTTTAACTTCTGCCCAGCTTTCTAATAATAATCCCGATATTTGTCATATTAAACAAATGAAAAATCAAACATAAGCTACTGGTTGACTGCCAGTAAATCACCAAGGTGACCATTTATACCATGATGTCACATTAAAAAAAAAAATCACATTTGAGTTACTTTATTTGCTTAAATCCAGAGGTTGGGTGCTTTTGTATTATAGCAGCTACAAACTCTAAGATTGCTGGCATGACAAACACAAAAGCAGTGCTACCTTATTCCACATTGTAGTTGTACTCTCAGACTCTTCACCAGGTTCACCCAGTTGTTATCTCAGTATAGGCAAATTAAATAAAAAACCTGAGAGCATGCAGATGTTCATCTAATGCAGGATACAATACAAACATAACACGTTTAACTTTAGAACAAAAAATAAATAGCTGGATGATATCCAGAGGACCCCTATGGTATTTTTTTATTTAAAAAAAATAAATAGTAAAGAATGCTCAAAGACTCATATTTACAAGGCAGCTCAAGTGGACTTCTGTCAGACTGTGAAGACAATATGATATCCCTAATACAGTAAAACAGCTCTATTCAAGAATACACTGATAAACTTACCTTTTGTGGCTCTGTTTTAAAGTGTTATGGTTAACAAATGTGTGCAGCTGAAGCATAAAGATCAAAATGACTCATGAGTGAAGAGTGTTAAAGCAGACTGAAGCTTGTTTTAAGACTACTGATTTTCTTCCCTTCCGCAATACAGGAAAACCCAGACAACTGGCAACTGGATAACTCACAAATCCTGCTTTGTGATCACACGCCCCAGATCAGATAAAAAGAAGGTGTAACAATGTAACTTTTGAGAAGGCAAATTCAAGTGGCATTCAAGTAAAGAAACGCACCCAAAATTCCTGAAGCTTTTTTCTTTTTACTCCAGCCTGTTCTGGGGACAAAATGCCTCAGTCCTGTGTCTGAAAAAAGTTTGTGTATGACTCAGTCCCACCGTGAAATTAAGATTAAAGATTGCACTGTCACAAATGTTGAACATATTTACTCAGGTGACTCAAGTCTCACTGAATTTGTGCTAACATACCACAAATCAATTCAAAAACATATTCAAGCAATAATTATATACAGGTTGAGTTCCAAGTAGCCACAATTATACACAAATTATACAAATTCAGCCCTTTTAATTACACCTCTGAAGGATCCATAGAAAAGTTTTGTGTCGATTCACTATTTTGGTAGACTGAATACGATTGACAGTGTATCTTTCTTTGTTTTCCTTTGCCAAATTACAAGTACACACTTAAAAGATTTCTTCCTACACTCCCTTAAGCGCTTTTCTTTTGAATCCCTTTAATAGCACATGACAACCCAAGGGAAACCCAAAATATTTGTGAGACAATGTTGAAGTTTGTGTTTTAAAATATTAGGTTTACAAACACTTCTGTAATCTACTGTGTGTTTGCTGATAATATTATCAGCAAAACGCAGTGTGTCAGAGTTTCAAATTTTCAAAGACAAGAGGGAAGTGAGATACGAACCCTTGAGTATTTGTCCTTGGTTTTTCATTTTCACACACAATCAACCTGTGGAAACACTCATTCAGTTTGTTGTCGCAAAGGTAACATGTAAAACAAATGCCAGTAGTAATTTAGCTGTGGACACACAATGTGCTGCAGACAACCTCAGAACTAAACTGAAAATATTCAGTAAAACTCACTGAAATATTTTTAAAAAGGTTCATATATCACTCGGCTATTCAAGCCATCTATCAAAACTGAATCCCATCAAAAAGGGGAAAATGCATAACTCCATTTAGCTGCGTAAGTACAGCTGACACGTTGCAGTTTCATCGTGCAACATATACATGGTGCCTACTAAAGACACATATTGCCTAGTCAAAATACACGGACAGATTTTCTGAATGTGCAAACAAGTGAGTTGATATTATCTGCCAGTTTTATAGCAATAATTCAACCCTGTGGTCTCTTTTTCAAATTTGCTGCTGCACTTCAGAGTCCCCCTCCCTGCTAGTCTCCACAGGAGTTCACCATCACAAAAGGTGCACTGAATGTACTGAACAAGCTCATATGTCCACATCGTCCGAGTCAGAGGTGCTGGATGATTGGGACTCCTCCTGCGACTCTCCCCACACAAACTTATAGTTGTTCTCCAACTCCTGCTGCCTCTTTTGCTCCTTGTAAACTTCTTCTGTGCCTCCAGTCTGGGGGATTAAAACGAGGTATGTTAGAAAATAACTTTATGATCAAATGTTTATTTGACTTGCTGACAAAAAAAAAGGTAAAATTGTTTCCCGCAAAAGAAAGGGCTAATTACATACCAATTACATTGGTCGACAAACCTGTTAGATCCTTTTGTCTTTACTTTTTCCCCCACTTTACAAACTAGTTATTCATGCGTGGTTTTTGAAGTTCAAGTGAAAGTAGCAAAGTTTCAGTTAAGTGAAAACTAATGGAAAAAAGCTGGTGAATTATTATAGTTATGTGCCATCTGATATCAAGCACATTGTGTGGACATTTTTCTATTACACAAGTGTTAAAATACTTTTTAGTCAGTCAGTTGTATTTGACAACCTAGAACCTGAAATGTAGAAACCAGATTTTTCCTGGAAGTGACAGTATCTCACCTGTTGTTAAATATGAAGCCTCACCCAACAGCTTGTTCCCTAGCAACTACTCCCAGCAAAGAACATGTCCAATAACTAACGCCCATAAAACGGCAATTTGTTGTGTTTTTTTTCCCACTCAGAAAGTTAAAGAAACACTCTAACCTCTAATTTCTGTAACTTTCTGAAAAAATCCAACATTTGCACCCACTTCGCACCATGAAGTCAAGTCAAATCTTTCAATATACTGTAAATATTTCATGACTACACCCTAATGATTTAACATCTATGTAAGAGTTATAGTTTGTTAATCGGGTAGACAAAAAAAAAAGATCCAATGGTCAGTCACATGTAGGCTGAAATTATTTTCTAAGCAAACACTACACCTCACAGCAAACCAGTGTGATGCTGGCTCAGTCACACCCACAAGGATCCTGAACCCAATAAAAAAGCAATTACTGAAATTACCAGGAGATTTATGAGGAGCTCCCTGAAGGACTTGGTATCTTCTTCAGTCAGCCACTGATCACCGGCCTCCTCTGCATTCTTTCTTGTCAAGATCTTGACCTCAATTTTACCTTAGAAAAAACAAAGCAGCGGAAAAGGGTGGCTTTCAAGTTAAACACATGTACTTCCAAGTTGCTCTGAATAAGGATACTGTACCACATGTTAAAGCAACAAATAATCATAATGAAGAATGGTATAGACAAAACAGTGGATGAAAAAGAAAGAACACACATGGTGGACACACTTTTCATTTCTGTCTGTCTTTAAGATAAGCGTCAGCTAACTAATCAGATTTTTTTGCTATCATGATGCTTACTTTTGCAATTCTGTTTAAGAAAAAATACCTAATTTAACGGGTCTCCTGTCTAATGTCCTGCTACTAATTTTGGTCTTCAGTAAATGCAGTGTTTAATTGCTTGCAGCATGAAAATGTGGGAAATACTTCTGTTTATTTCCGCATGATATTTATGTCATTTGAATGGCTTAACCTGAAAAACCTGAATCTGACAGTTGTAATGCTTTTTGACACAAATGAGCAAATAAATACAGAACTGTATGTTCAAGATAACAGATGAAAGAGAGAAAAGGCCGTGAGTGTTTCGGGCACTCCCCCTTCATACCTTCGGCCTTCAGTCCTGCTTTCTCTAGCTGTTCTTTAACCACGTCCTTTATGTGCTGCCACTGGGGGTCTCCTTCGCCCATCTCCTGAACTTTGACCTCCCCATCAGGGCTGCTGCCCGTCTTATACTTAGTAATTTTGATCTTAACATGGTCGTCAGCCGCTTGGTCTGGGGTGACGAGACAAAAGAGGGACAAACAACACAGTTCACCTCAAAACCCACCAAGCAGGGCCACAGGATGGAGGAGGTAAGAGCCAAGAAAATGGAATCCAAAACACTGTCTTATAAGCATTACATTTGTCACGGATTTGATTTGATTATTTAAATTTTGATTTAATTACTGAAAATCACCCACAGATACATCAATGGCAGCAGAGGAAAGACCACTAACTAGCCAAAGAAATTTAAAATATTAATCTGATATCATGAGTTTTCTGTGGATTCAGTTTGTTTTTGCATCAAACTAAGTCCATGTGTGCATCTATTTTGGGATGAGAATGCCATAACAGGCATCTACTGTACATATGGATGAAATATGAAGATAATGGAGGTGGACACAGAGTAACCACCGAAGGGAAGGCAGCCTGGTTACCTGGCTGCTTTGGAGCAAGGCTGGGGCTGCCCCTGGTCGGGTCTCTGGATCTTTGAATTCCTGCTGTTTGCTGCTCTTGGTCCTGGACGTCTTTCTCCTCTAAATGGTCAAGTAGCTTGTCCAGTGTCGTCTCCAGTGTCTGTGTTGCTTGAGTGCGATCGAACTCCCCTTTCAGGCCCTCAGTCTCCAATTCCTGCTGGGCCTACAGGACAGAGAAAAGCCACTCATGTCAATGAATAACAATACATTATGTGTAAGGATCTGCCAAATAATATTTTAATATACATCAATCTTAGTGTTAAAATCACATTATCTATGGTCTGAAACCTCATTTATGATGTTGTCAAATTCCTTCTGCATTTCCTCCTTTATTTCTTCAATCTGATCAGATGGCACAGAGAGGTCAGCCATCTCATCCTCAAACTCCTGTAGTAGGCGTTCATCTTCATCTTTCTCTTCCTCACCGAGCTTCTCTGTTACCCTGTCACTTGTTGGTTTCTCGTCTCGACTTTTGGCTTGGTTTTGTGCTTTCTAAAAACAAAACAAAAAAATGCTGCACTGAATTAGAATATCCACACACTGCAAGGAAAAAAAATTATAATCGAGGTAGAGAGGTATACAAAAAAAAGTATCACAGATATCTTGTCCTGACCTTCCTGTTACTCTCTTTGAGGTGCTGGACAAATTTCATCAGGTCTGCTGGGTCAGTGATGATTTTAAAGTTGAATTTTTCTACTGAAAGAGATTAATTTCAATGAGATCAAAGTCTTACACTGAGCAGCAGCTCAAAAAATAAATGCATAACTAATCACCATTAACTTTTGACAGTCGTTCACTTTGCAAATTAGACAGCATACTGCACCAAAATAAAAGACTGTGGTTCTTGTAATCTTTTTTGGGGCTCGTTTGAAGCAGCAATCAGAAGACATTAAATGAACTGTGCTGTAAAGTGATCAGAATAATCATAAATAGGATTGATCTTCTGTGTGTGTGTGTGTGTGTGAGTGAGTGAGTGAGTGAGTGAGTGAGTGAGTGAGTGAGTGAGTGAGTGAGTGAGTGAGTGAGTGAGTGAGTGAGTGAGTGAGTGAGTGAGTGAGTGTGTGTGTGTGTGTGTGTGTGTGTGTGTGTGTGTGTGTGTGTGTGTGTTGCATTACCTTCATCACCATCATCAATGACTCCACTGTCTGTAAGTGAGTCATCAACATCATCTGCTGCCTGTGAAGAAATAATCAGGTTAGTTAGGTGTTGTGAAATGGTAATGTGTTGACCTACACCCTCTAGTGGTCAAATGGGCTCTGACTGGAGAGGAATCTTGACTAAAATCTTTTTACACACTTAAACATTCATGCATGGACAGTTATTGTAAACAAAGTTTTAGATGATATGGACAGCAATGAACTATAACATTTTGCAATAATCTATCAATTTAGTCAGCTCTAAGCACAAAGCACATAAGATTAAAAAAAACGGTCAATTTAACACATTATAGTGTTGCTATAACATATTATAAATGAAATCAATCATGATTAGTACACTAGATTTTGTGGAATGGACATTTTAAAACTTGAACACTACAGTAAACTTGTTTGAATGAAGACACTAAATTAGTCAGCCTATCATTCACTGTCAATGTACAGACTCCAGGAAGACATCATTCATTCAGAGGGAGAACTGATTCTAAGACATACAGTGTTTCTATACCTGGCTCTCCTGTTGAGAAGGAGTCGTTTTTGAAGTCTCTGGTTTTGTAACTCCCTCCCAGAAATCAGAATCCTCTGCCTCTTCTGACCCACCATCCTCAGATACATCAGCAGTGTCTGTCTCAAAACAGATGCAGCCACTCGTGTCACATGAGAAAAGCTTTGTGAAATCTACATTTACCCAAGGCATAATTGAGATTATCATTTTCCCCAGAAGTGTAAAAAATTGCACCTTTTCTGTCTGAGTGGTCTGAGTCATCGCTGGGTGCAGGTGATATCTCTTCTGCTGTTACTTCCACTGCTCCATCTGCCCCTTCATTACCGGCCAACATTTCATCAAGATTCCTCAGCTCCTCTGAGATCTGCTCCACTTTACGCTTTGTGTCCGCTGGGAACAGACAGATGTAGGAGGGAGGAGGAGGGAAAGAAAAGAATGAAAGAAAGAATGAAAGAACAGTCATGTCTCCGTATTTCTTATGGTTTTAAAATTAGACAGTGTACATCAGTATTTCAAATACCATACACCTAATTAACAATACATGTCAAACAATTGAACATTTGTATGTTTACCACCTTCGGCTCCCTAACTGATGTTAGTTTCCAGATGCTGCATCACAGTCACCTTCATTTTTGTCAACTCACAGACTTGGGCCTTGACGTAATCCATGTACTGTTGGGCGCTTAACGCTGGTTGGCACACGATACCCTGGGGTTTGGCAGTTGATGGTGGCCGCAGGAATGGATGCTGGCAGGTGCGACTGGTGTGAATTGTCAGCACATAGCGACACGACTGGGGCTCATCCACTCGTGCGATGTAGTCACCTGAGCCTTCTTCACACACAAACTGGAAATAATAGAGTAAAACCGTCTAGGTGTGTCTAGGATTCATCATTTGGAACATTATGCAAATTGACTTCACATCTCTGTTTGGAGTGGTAAAACAGAAAAACAGACAAAACCATGGAGGCAGTGTCTCCTTAATTCAAATTCCTCACCCGGACTTCTGTCTCTCTGGGGTTTCCATTTATGTCACACTTAGAGCCATTTACATAGGTCTGACTGTGGTAGCGCTTCAGTCTGTGCTGTTTGGAGGCCTGGGAAACAACAAACAGAAAATATGTTTTAATGCATCTGATTTGTAATATTCTTGAACATTATAGATAGAAAGTAGCTGGTGAGTGGGGTCAGTAAGGTCAAGCCCAAGGCTAACTCAATGAGTCTAATGGATGTGGCCACAAAGTTCGACATGGCCCGCTTGGTCCTGAATATGTCCTTCCTTCCTAAGTTCTTAGTAACTACTAGCACCAGCTAAAATAATGTTTTTATGAAGCCAAACAACTATTAAACTTACATGTTTGACTCGATATTTTACAAATGTAGGTGTTACATTATTTGTACTTAGACAGAGAAAATGTCTTTCAGAACGTATCTGTATTATTGTAGTTAAGTGTAAGAGGGGAATATCCCATTATGTCACCTAACCGACCTTTAAGTTACTGGCATATCATTTTGTCATGATGTTTGTTGAAGTACATTGCGGTATCTTTATAAAAACTGATTTAAAATCTTCAAAGATCACATCATTGACCTATCAGATCAGATACGACAAACGTATCCCATTTTACCTCTGACAGTCTTTACTGAGAAAAGGTAGTGTTGACAGTTGGTTCAGGTAGCTAAGGAAAGTTACATCTGACAGTTAGTTGGTATAAATATTTTGTAACAGCTAATATCTAGGTAATAACTGGTTTGTGTGGTGCAACCCATTCTAAACTAATAATGTGTAAATCTCTCTAACTACGGCCCGTATGAACAGCACATATCAACGGCTTAAAAGCCCTATGAAACCGTCTTCATGTTTTCACTAATGTCAACAAATGACTATGAACAAGCCATGTACACTTGTTGGGCAGTTTGACACAGTGTAAAATAATGTGCTTTCTGTATAAAGACATCACAGCAGAAGACAAATGAAGAATATCGACAAAAGTAGGCTAATCCCTCATGCACATTACTGAAGAGTATTATATCAGCCTGAGATAGTCTTGTGCATTTTAAAATACATAAATCCATTCTTCCTGCATATTGTCTTTAACTGGGACTTTGATGATGTACAGCAAAACTTTAATGCTTTCCTTCTTTTTTTTTTATCTGTAGGACCAAGACTGACACCTGTTTTTTTTCCTTATGGATAAAATAGGTAGATCTCAGTAAATTATGTGGGCAATTGTCAGTGTCCCACATACTGAATTAGGCTAGGATTTATTCAACTTTAAATTATGCACTGCCACATACAACAATAAAATTCAGTTTATATTATACAATCATGCAATTCCATGTTTCGTCTTTTTAATGCATACCAGAAATCTGAAATTTAAGAAAATGCAACCACACAATAAAGGCAACTTTACCTTTGCCGTTTCATTGTTCCAATCAAACTCAGATTCATAATAACCGAGAAACAGAATGTCCCCTTTGATTTCTGTGTCTGAGGAGAGAAGAACATCTCAAAGTCAAAATCAGCTCATCTGTTACAGTTATAAAATACATAGATTTAAAACACAGTGGTATGTTCTCACCTTCGAGGTGGTACTGTCTGATATGCTGACCATGACAAAACTCGTATGTCCACCAGTCCTTCGTCTGCATGAAACACAGACAGCAAACATCTCAAAATACTGTAATTACTGACACATTTTCCTTTTAATTTAGGCTACTTGCTTAAAATCATCAACAATATCATAATCATCATCTTTTTTCCCTGCACATACATGGTTATATCTTTTTAACAAGTATAGCTTAGTATGATGCCTTAGTAACAAACTTTCCACCTCACTGTTTTGAGTCCAGTTGGTTGATCACTGATTCAGTGATTGGGATGATTAAAATCAATATGTCAGGATGCAGGAAGGAATAAGAGTATTAGGCTCTAGTGTGTGTGCATCAAAACGAAAAGAGGCACATTAAACAAAGAAACGTATAAACTACTAACTAAAAGGCTCAAAACATGATTAGAGTGACAATTCAAAAATGAAGCCCAGATAAAACCCGAAACTACAATCAGCTGTTGAGAAAACCTTTTTCTTCTACGCTGCTGATCACAAGAAGTATCTGCTGATGTGAAACATGCCCCACAAAGGGGATTTCAGAAGACCTACAATCAAGCATTGTTGATTTGCATAAAGCTGAAAAAGTTAGAGAGTCATCACAAAAAGTTTACATAGTTTAGTTCTGTGGCTCTTCTCCCTAAAAGTTGGCACCCAGTTAAGATGACGCCCAAAACCTCAACACAGAAGATCAGTAATGTAACAAAGAACTTCAGAGTATCAGCTAAAGGCTTTAAATAATCATTGGAGCTGGTTAACACTCTGTCCATGGCAGGACACCCCAAAAAAACATCGCCGTGCCCCTGAAGTTTGCTAAAGAGCAGCTGGACACTCCACAACACTACTGGGAAAATGTTATATTTACTGATGAAACTAACATCCTATGAAGTGAGTGGTCCAAAATTCCTCCTGAACCTTTTGCTTGTTTGAGGTTATTGGTGACAAAGGAGGTTCGACCAGTTATTAAATCCAAGGATCCTTCAACATTGTTGATGGAACTTTGACTACACTTTAAGCTGAACCAGTGAAAACATAAAGTAGTAATACAGTCCTCTTTTTTATACTGACAGGATTTCAATTTGCATTGGCTGCACTTTATTGTGTAGCTGAAAACAAATTAATTATGATGTTCATTTTGAAAATTTCATCATCTGTGTGTGGGTAGTGTTATAAGTAACCATTTCCTCCTTAAACATCTACTTAATGGCAGCACATTTAAGTTACTGAATTTCTTGTCCCTGGGTGCTCCCTGGATTCAAATTTTGTTTGAAGTGCTATTTGGATGGGATACACGTAGAAAAAAACATAAAACTAAAACTAAGAGGCACTCTCTTCTTTAAACAATTAAAATGGCATCGAGCCTTCATCAAGGAGTGACCCCCTGAAGTAGGGTATGTTTTTAGGTTTACCATGACCATGCCATGATAATAAAGGCATGTTAATTGTTTTTCCAAAAGAGAGTGCCTTGTAGTTTTCTTGAATTTTTTTGTATTATATACAGTTTGTCCTGTGTCAGAAGTGTTTTTTGTATATCACAGATAGTTTTGGTGTGTTTTTTTATATCATGTGATCTCCTATTTGCGGGTGGAGCTATCATTTCTATCTGTATACAAAGCCTGTTTTGACCATAAAAGGTCAAAATGTTGCCAATGCCAATTAATGTTTGTCCTCCTTCTCAACATTGCAAAGCAAACAGATACAGACAAACCTTTCAATACACAGTGATTGTTTGGTACTTTCTCAGTGTGCTTATTTTGCAGTCACACATATTTACATCTGCTTGAATACGTTTGAGTGACAGGTGTGGTCAGTGTGATAAAGTTTGCATCAAAAACAGCTCTGCCTTGAGTGAAAAAAATAGTAATAATAGACCTCACAGACAAGCAAATTTGAACCAACCTTCACTAGACACGGGGCATTATGCATTGGACCGAGCAGGTCTGGAATGTCTGGTCCAGTGTACCCCTCCGAGTCCGGCTCAGATGCAGGATCCTGATGAAACCGGACAGCCTGGGCTGGAAGTCGACACTCGTAGAGCTGCTTGTACTTACTGGACACCATCATAACCTCCTCTGTCTTGGTCTAAAGGAGACACACAGTCATGAAAATTGCAGTATCTCAGTGTGACAATGTCACACATTAGCAGAAAGATATTCAAGTACTTATGGTTCATTAACTACCTAGTTTTGCTACTATAGTTATAGTTAGTTATTTATAATGTGAGGAAGTTACAGGTAGGTGGAAGTGAGGACACTGAGGTTGTGTTGTGACAGCTGTCAACAGTGGCTGCTGCGTAGGTCACTTCAGAATAAACCTCATAAAATAAAGCTTCAACATGTAAATTCCAAGCATATTGTATATTTTAAAAATAAACTAAACCCAACTAACAGGCAGATTACTCTTTATTTGCGTTAAAAGGGAAGCTATTTAACGGCATTTTACGATATGTAACGTTAGCTAACGGAAGCTTACTTTCTAGCTAGCAAGCTAACCATTAGCTTCCCCAAAGATCCTCACTCACCTGCCCCAGGATGACGGGATCGGGAAGAATTTGAATCCCATATTTCATCTCGTTCAGCTCCTCCAAATTCAAGAAGGCAGGGACACAGAGTGGACATATCAACAAGAAAACATACAGTCTTTTTAGCCACCGTACTGAGAACACAGCCATGATGATTGACTCTCTCCTCATAGCCCCATTTGCGAGACAACAACAAAACACAGGGAGCCTGACATGGGAGCAGCTGGTTGGTCAATGTAGCAAGCACTGCTCTGTCATTGGTTAACTTTTGTGTCCGTCAACGGTTTGCCAGTTCTGTATGTGTGTTAGATTAGGACACTGGCATACACTGAAGGGGCGGTGGCCCTACTTTAGTAATCTCGACCATCATTCTAAAACAGCGTACATGCCAGCTGTCCAGCTTTGTCTTGCCACAAATTAAACTCACCCTCTAAGGCAGTAACCAGGCTTGCGTTGGCTTGGTGGATAAGGCGTTCTAACAGCTAATTTGGCCAAATTATTATCATGCGGGTTATTTTCTCAATTGGTAACACCAGACTACTGCTTTGATCATTTCTAAGATTAACATTTACAAGTAGAACTGGAAACTACTTCAGCTGGTACCCAATAAGCACACACTGGTAGAAAGAAATGTGAAAATGTGAACTCAGAGTGTGCGGTTATGGTCAAACTTCCACCAATTTGTAGCCAGTATTGAAATAGAGACAGGCTGTCAAAAAAATAAATAAATAAAAATAAAAAAACCTTTTAACATGCTTTCACACACGATACCAGACCTATCATAGACACACATCGAACACATATGTGCACAGATGCCCACCCACCCACACACACACATGAATACCATATTGTTGAGCTATGGGTATGAACGGGTCTTGTTGGAACATGAGTAAAATTAATTTTCAGATGATGTGCTGTAGTTCATAGCCTACATAGTCCACGTAATGTGCCACACGTTACCATTGCACTTCGCACAGTGATTGACCGCTGGGTGTTGTGTTGAGGTGCGGTGCTTGCTCCGCTGATCTATCGCTCCGCTGCCGCTGCCGCTCCTGCTATAAGGGGAGCGCCCCAGCCAACAGTGCTGCGATGTGTGGCCGCTATATTTGTCTCCTGTCCGCTGCGTTTGACCACATCTAATCCCATTTGCAAGACCGCCGAGGAACAGATTAATTAAAGAGGGGCGACCTCCTGGAGGGCGGGAGGTGAAACAGCTTACGGTGTGCGTCTTTGAACTGAGGTGAGCTCCCTCTTCATATGATTTGACTGTAATAACAGGCCTACAGCTCTGTCTTCCATAGGTCTCTCAGCTGTCTGTGAACATTAGACGATTTAGCTACCAGACCAAACGTGAGAAGAAAAGAAAGGCGTGGGAATTTTGTGGAGCCAAAGTAATTGTCGATAAAATGACCAAATGCAACGGACCTTTGTTTTGGGTGAGATGCGTTTCAACATGAAAGGGATGTAATCGAAAGATACATCAAGATTTATGTGCAATGTAATTTTTTTCCTGCAGTCTTACTCACGACAAGGTAGGACAATAGGCCTGTCCGATGGAGCTTATTGTATAGCCTAGCTGTGCAGCCAGGCCCGGACTGCTATACAGATTATTACATTACTTTGACATTTTCTTATGTTTAAGGATATTGAGCAGTGGAGGGGAGTAGTTTTTGCCAATTTACATGTAATAGTCCAGAATTTGAATGTATTCAATTGAGGCAACAAATCTGTCTTTGGGAGGGACCGATGTCTATCTATTGCATGTCCACAGCACTCCTTACCTCCTGGTGGGGTTGATTCAGCAGGTTTACAGCATTACTCTCAATATTGAAAACATTTTCATAATGGTGTGAATTTAAATTATATTTCTTACAGCATTCATTCTTATGATTACTTCTCTTCATATTCTACATAGTTTTGGTTTGTATTAGGCTATATCATGTTATGGCTGGGCAATTACTCAGTGTTATTATTTTTTCATGGGGTTACCATGAAGTTATCATAAGGCATTATCATTTTACAAAACTGTTATCAAAACTAGTGATTCAAAGTAAATTGTAAGCTACACATTTGAAAGGTTTTGCCATGCATATATGGTATTGCCTATGCTTTTATTTCATGTATTTCTTTGTTTTATGTTACCTGTGGCTTGTTACAGCCAAGATAATTAGAGATTATTAGTCTATGACTTGCAGTTTATCCAGAGGAAGTATACTGACCTGAGCAAAAGAAAAAAAAGAAGTTTAAATGGGAGTAACATTGTATAAATGAGTTGAAGTGCACAGAGAAAGACTGAGCTGCATTGTTTTCTGAATGGCCTGAAATGTGCATGAAACTTGAACTGAGATTAAAGAAAATATACTATGAAGCTTGTGAAAAACCTGAATCAAGGAGTAAAAATCCAAATTTTTGTGACCTGAATAAAATTTCAATGATTTTTTTTACAGGAAAGTAAGAATGTGTATGAAGAGGCTACATGACACCGGGTTTGAATGTTTATGTTTTAGTAACTTCCCTTACAGTTTCAGGAACAGCTGGTGCTAAACTACAATGATTAATGGATGACTGCTCTGGGCTGTTGATAAGCTGCTACCAGGTTACTGTGTGATTGTGTGTCTTTGTGTGTCTCTTAGTATTTGTTTGTTTATCTGTGTATCTGTGCATATGTGTGTGTGTGTGTGTGTGTGTGTGTGTGCAGTCTAATCAGCTGATCTGAATCAGGAATCAGCAGCGTGGCCTGCTGCAGGTAATGGTTTCCATAGTGATGGTAACTGCTTGGTTACACCTGGTAAAAACAGGGATCATGGTGAGACACACCTACCACCTTACCTCTTATCACCTAAAGCTGTGTGGTGTGAAAAGTGGGGCAATTGCAGTGATTTAAAAAATGGCCTTGTTCCTGTTTTCCTCCTGATTGTGTGCTCTGTTTGTATGAGAGTGAATGGGGCAGTTGGAAGATACTCCTGCCACTTTGAGGCTCAGGTCAAGTTCTGTAAGTCACTGAGCTTTGGTAGTCATATTGTGTGAACAAAGACTAATTTCGTGTGGTATTGTGAATGACACTCAATACCAGAATCACAATGGCAATTGAAATGACAGCATTTTGATGTAATGCAATGTGTGGCATAATGTTTATTTGTCTGTACCCATTCTTGTGCGATATCTCTTCAATTTTGGCACAAACATTTACTCGGACTCAAGGATGAACTGATTAGTTTTTGGTGGTCAAAGGTCAAGGTTACTGTGACCTACAAAACACGTTTTTGGCCATAACTCACAAATTCATATAATTACAACACAATTTAACACAAATGTCTAAAACAATAAAATGATGAAGTGATGACATTTTATATCCAAATGGTCAAAGGTCAACTTCACTGTGACATCATAATGTTCTGCAAAAACACCTCTGGCCATTATTCATTGCTGTAACTCAGGAAGGGCAGATTGTGACCACATTTCCTGCAACTTGGCTGGTTGAGGAAGTCATATGGCAGCAATTCTAGTATAGTCTAATATATAGCTATTATAGGAAATCAAAATGTTGAAACAACGTATCTTCTCAAAAGAAGAATTTTGTACATGAAATTATTAGGGTGTCCCATTTTTCTAACGAAGGTGCACCATTTTGCAAAAAAGAAAAGTCTCAGGACACATTGTCTTTGAAGAGGTGTCATCCATCCTGTGTTTAATAATTCCTTATTTCTTCTTTTGTGTTGTATAGAATATGTCTTAAGCTATTTAGAATAGTAACATGTTAGGGGTTAAGAAGGGTTCAGAAAGTGTCCCAATTTACCAATACTCACCCAATAGACCTATATCTAATATACAACTTAACGTACACTGAGTATAGTCTACATCACTAACAGAACAAGGTAAAGTGCTTTTAAAAGGAGCAATTTCAGAAACTATGTCCTGTGAGAGATATCCAAACAGCCCAGATGACTGACCACCCGGTCCATCTTCCCCCAACATTGATTGTTTCCAATTTGCACAAAAACACTTATTTGGTTGTCCCAAACCCCTGGGGTCTCCCCTGGGGGCTGTAAGACCACTCAAGCAGCTGACGAAGCACCATATGGATGCTCAACTGTGTTTTATGAGATGATGCAATAGCTTGAATAATTTTTGTATAAAATTTACACTTGGCTACTAGTCTGTGATGTTTTTATTCCTGTATGTTATGACTCATTTTCCTTATTTTTTTCTTGTTTCCAGATGGGGAAGGCACTCACTCATTTCTGTGACTATCTACATGGTTCCTGGAGATGTAGGTGTCTACAGTCGATACCTTTTCACTGACTGGATAGAGGCAGTTGAGTATATGTTTCTTATAAATGGTTTTTAAACATGCAGGGAGTTCTGGAAATTAAGAAAAAATACATGAATAAATTCGCCAAATACAAAAATTAAATTTTTAAGCATTTATATTATGTGTAATTGCAGTAACTTGTAGCAGAAAGGAGCAAATCCAGAGGGAGAGCAAAAGAGTATCTACATATGTGTACATACATGTATACAGGTATAGGACCATGTCTTTTTGGACATGAATGAAGAAAGCATCATGTAGAATCCTTCCAAATAGCCATAGTCATTATTATTATTATTATTATTATTATATGTGACACACATATATTATTATGTCATAGTGAAACAAACAGGGGTAATAAAGGCTGACCGAGATGTTGGAGTCCTCGTGGCTCGCTAAACACAAGAAGAATGAAGTCTGTTATTCGTAGAGAAAGTTCAAAAGTTACAGGCCAAAGAAAGAAAGAAAGAAAGAGTATAAGCAGACATTTAGTGCTTGATCAGATTAGATCATTGTCATTCAGCAAGACAATCAGCTTCTCTCAGTGTGCAGAATGGACGTCATGGACAAACACTCATATTAATCATATTAATCTGTTTATCACAGCTTCAAGGGAGGGGGAAAAGCTCATCACATACTGGCAAGTTTCAAAAAGTGATACATGTTAAAACATCTCCTTTCAGTAGATCTAGCAGAGACGAAGAGAGGGGAGGAGAGGACAAAACTGCTTCCAGCATCTGAACTTCTTTGTTATAAAATCCTGACTTTAGATTTTACACTTCGATACTGAGCTAGCTGGTCTGAAACTTCAATCTGCTAACCCAGCAGGCAAGTGCCAAACTGCTTGTGTTTTACCCCTGGTAGCATGA